TGGTTCAATAAATCCGTAGGGTATTGCATAAAGAACTCAAAGTATTGTGATCACATAAAAAAAAATTTGAACTTTATGTAGTACCCACCTACCATACCTATTCAAATAGACCAGAAATAGAAAAATATGTATAAAAACATAATGTGTCCATTAAAATCCAGTCCAGTAAAATAGCACATCATGTCAATTCGTTATGTAATTGGAAATCAATGCCTTCGGTTCTATAATAAAATTGGTTTTGTTGCCACAATAATTTATTCATTTCAAATCAATCACGAAAAATGTTATTCACAAAATTTCAATACAGCAATAATAACGATTTAAGATTTATAAGTACGTCCTCCAGAGGCAACGTTTCCCGTAACAAGGTCCTCACAATACAAACTGAAATGTCTAAATGAGGCACTCCGTGTCCCAAGAGTGAGGGCAGGTCACAGTCAAGATGCCTTCAGTAGGTTCTATCAAATATTAGTAGGTAATATTAGGTAGGGTAGTCGAATAGTAGTAGATAATAGTAATTTTATTCAGATACTTAAGATAGTCGATCACTGTAAAGATCATAGCACACTTATAAACCCGGAAAGGGGGTCAACACCGTATCGTTTTTTCGCCGTGAGGCGTTTATCTTGCGGTGCGGTGCGGATAAGTGTGCGTTGCAGTACGGAGTTTCATAAAAAGAATACTGACCGCCTCGAGTTGATACGGTTACATTCCATTTCCGGGTTGATAAGTGTGCTACGTCCTTCAATCTGTTTTTAATTTTGTTCCACTTGATCCTACTGGAACACTTTGCATTATGTCGACATCTCGGCATCTCGATTTTCGTCTTGAAAGCTTAATTTCTGATAGAGTTCAGCAGGCTTATAATCACACTTAAAAATGTATGGCAATCGGTTTTAATCCGACATTGCAGCATTGGGAAGATATCATTTTGGAAGCCATTGCAGTTAATATTGTAAAAGTTATAATGAAAACAATCTTTTGTTGTTCAGTGGGAAGTACTGAGAAGATTTTCCGGATTACCATCCTATACTGCATCTCACTTAACACCAGGTGCGATTGCGGTCAAATACCTGCCTTGTTATGCATAAAAAAAAATCATTTTCCACAAAGTTACTACCAAAACAATTAAACAACAATCTGTATCCTTTAAAAGTTATTGCTAAAATAATAATAAAGGCGCAGTACTTCCCAAGAGGATAGTCTTGCTCAAAGGTCGTTATAACATTACCAATCTCTATCTATTTGATAGCGACTGCCATAATAGTTGAACTGAAATTAGTTGATAAGGGCGCAAGTCTCTCAAGGAAGGATTACCCCGAGATATGTCCAGGCTATTGTTTACTCACAAAGGGAATACGTCCAATACAAGGGTCACATCGGATTTGTGTTGCAAATTATATTACAGACATTGTGCCGAGCTTGTTTCTCAGAAACAGGAATGAGCACGTTCCTGTATCTACGATTTTGTGGAAAATATAACCAAGATTTCATCTACGAGTAATCCTATTCGCCAACAAGATGCAATTTTTGATTCCCGCCTTAGGCATAGGCAGTTCGATTTTTTCAAGTTGTTTATTTAAAAATTTAGTTTGAGAAGCAAAATATTAAATTTTAATAACAAGATGCAGTAAATGAATACGAATATTCTGATTTTCAAAATGCGATACTTTCCACGCCCAGAGCGTTTAAGCGATAGTAATAAGTTTTGGTGTGGAGATAAAATTTTAGAAGCATAGTAGAATAAACATTTTACTGGGAAACGCTTTTTAAGAGCCTTATTCCAAAAATAAATTACTTTTATTAGACCTGAAAAAAGGAAAGAGAAAGAACTAAAAGGTATAATTTAATATGGGAAAAGTCTCTGCTTTTGTTACTTGAAATAACTTAAAAGGTCGATGATAAAATAGAGGAGGATAATTAATTATGTTCTTACGTCAAGTATTATTATAAAAATACCTTTTCGATGTAATCAACATTCAGCCATTTTAGTAAATGACTATTTTGAAAAAATTATCAATTCCAATTTACATTTATGAATGAATTTTGAAGTAATTTTAGTTGACCAAATAACAACCTGATCAAAGGTCAAAACATTCGGACCTACATTATCACGAAATGACAAAGCTTCATTGATTTNGTTGATTTTGATCCTTAGAATAAAAAAACAAAGTTCAAAATACTTAGCAGGTATTCCTGTGATGTGACTATACTAATAAAAGTTGTCCTCGGCAAGAAAGTTTTCCCGATAGATAATCGAAAAAGTTACCTTTTAGTCACTAACATATTACGAACATTTCTAATACATAATATTGAATAAGTTATGTTGGCCTCTGAATGTGTACGAATATAGCTCAGTTATACTATCTATTCTAAAACATTATTATTCTTTGCTATAACTAAATATCATTTTCAGTTTTAAAGGTCATATCAGACTTATCAACTCTGAAAGGGATCAAGGGTCTTTCGCGCGCTGTCAACCGCGAGACGAGGCGTTACGGCGTGGATAAGTATGCGTTGCAGTATGGAGTTTCACACAAAGAATAGGCTGACTGCTTCGAGTTGATACGGACGATCCCTTTCCGGGTTGATAAGTGTGCTACGTCCTTTAGTCTTACAAACAAAAGGGCATTTGATAGGCTCGTTCCCCTAATTTAGCCCTCTNTTTCCGGGTCGATTGGTGTGCTTCATCCTTAAGCAATAAGCCGAGTTACTCTCCGGAGACTGAAATAAAAGAGCCGGCAACGAAACCAATAAACGAAGGACATGTAGCAACCACACACGTGTTAGAGCATTACTACTGATGTAATTAATTGAAATCAAATCAGTTAAATTAACGAAAAATCACTTTCAATGATTCCTATTAGCTAAAATTGCGATTTAGCTGATTGTTAGTATTATACATAGATTAAATGACAGCTTGCTAACGAATTTACTCAATACTCAATACTTTTATTGCATAATTAAAATAATTTAAAAGTAAAACAGATTATTTATCTACGATTAGAGGGCAATGTGCCGTTGCTCACGCAGGCCTGGCTCACTCCGCGCGGTACATCCGATAATTACCTACAGCGAAGCGCCCCGCCGGCGGGTATTATATCAGTCGAGTGTCACGCGCGCACCCGTCAGGACGCTGGTTGGCGTGCGTTGTAGTATGATTATAATTCTATTTAAAAATGGACATATAGAGAAAGAAATATTGTGCGGCGTTCGGGTGTTAAAATTCGAAAAGAAATCTACCGGATTTATCTTTTTTTTCGCTTCCCAAAGATGCTGAAAGGTATGTAGGCCATAAGGTAATCAATAATTCTTAGGATAGTATAGGAACCTAACCTACCATGACTACTGCTCAGAATTCGTTCGTTCGTTTCAGCCAAATGACGTCCACTGCTGGACAAAGGCCTCTCCCAAGGTTTTCCATAATGAATGCATACTTACCTACATACGTACCTCATTNGAAATACCTACTTTAGAAGAAATACCAAGCCTTAAAATACTTTTTCCACAGGATCATGGTCAAATTCGCAAACAAAAATTACATCCCCATACTAAAATGACTGATTGCTGATGATCATTTACAAGGACTTTTTTAAATAATCGAACTTTGCTCCCTAGGGAATAGTTGTTTCATTTGAGCCGACGAATCGATCTTTTTTGTTCGATCAAGTATAAAAATAACGCACTGTATTCGCCCAAATAGGCATAATAGTCGATTCATCGCCACGCATTTCAATAACGCAGAACTCTCAATATCGTTAATTTAGATGCGCGTGCGGTCATCGGAGTTCGTATCGTACATCATTCTTCATGACAGGACAGCCAGCAACAAAAGTCACTAGCACGGTTTAAATGTAAATCATTTGCTATATTTTAACTGATCGAAGCACTTTAAGCCTGGTTTCCACCAAGACGGAGAAATGTTTTGAATAACCAATTAGATTTCATTCTGTCAATTTCATTATGAAGTCTGGTTATTCTCCTCTCATAACATTTGTCCTCTCCGCTCCGCCTTGGTGAAAACTGGGCCTTAGGCTCAGCTACCTCCGGTGTCAGTGTGTCAAGAACATGGGACACCCTGCATATTATATGGCAAAATATTTTTAGAGCAAAAAGTTCGAGAATATAGTTCCAAAATAGTGAACTGTCCTATCGATGACATTGACAGTGGGGCGCCACCGTCAATACCGGATCGCTGGTTCCGATTTTTGCCATGTTAGAAAACATAATAGTTGAACGATGGTAGCGCCCCCCTGTCATTGAGTTTGGCGGGACAGTTCAGCGTGGGTCATCTATACAATAATTACTCGTACCTAGTGTTTCAAAAGAAAAAATACGATTTCATCACAATAAATACTCATTAATACAAACTAGTCCAACAAATAAAAAAAATAGACGGCAAATATTGCAAATAAAAAGTAATGCATTGAAAACACTGAATGAGATCTTCAAAAGTACATGTTCGATTCCGTGCTAACATTGTTTCCAAATAAACACATTTTGCAGTTTTATTCAAATACATTTGAATTTGAAACGTTCAATCAAGCAGATAGCTATTGACTTAAAAAGTATGGAAACGTGGTCCGAAATAGAATCAAGTGCTTCAATTATTCTCAAATCTACACTAACTTATTGTTTATACAGTAGATTGTTATTATTAGTTATAACTTATAAGGCCTAAGATATCAAGGTCTTTGTTCTCTGAAACGCCCCCAAACCGACGGACAGTTTAAGTTATGTTTTACACTAAAACAATTACTAAACTCTATACAAAAAAGCACCGATTATCGTTATAGTTACCGTCAGAGTTAGGTGGTGCAACTCAGCCTAAGAATCAGTCCTATGGCAATAAATAAAAAAAAACCCTGTAAGTACGGACGACGGCACGTCAACGTAACCACTGTGGGTTTTTGTGCAGTTGTAATAGGGGCGAGTTTGCAACAAAAATGGGTAACCTGATGTGCTGTCGTTTGTACAAAAATATAAAAAAAAACACTTACCCAAATTCCAACTCGTCGGGAGTCAGCATAACAATATCGTCGTCTATGGTCAATTGACACTCAGTCTCAATCTCATCATACGGAAAAAATCTATTCGACAGTTTGTTCTCTTTGGTTCGTATCACTTTCAGTGGTTTGTTGATAACTGGCCACTCAGATGCTGAAAAAAAAGCGAAATCGCATGATAAAAAAGAAAATAATGTTGTTGTAACCGTAGAATTAATACACGATTGAAAATTATTAACACTACTACATAAGAGGGTTTAGAGGACAATTGAAATTGAACCTTAAACAATGTGTAGTAGAAATTGATTTCGCAATAATCAAATTGCATTCTGCAATTTTTTTAACAACACAAAAGCAGTCTAATTTCAATGAATCAGGGTCGTTATTGCGTTTTTCCGCGGCCAAATCACTTTCGTCACTTGATCGGTTGCGTGTATATCGATTATCTGGTATATTTAAACATTTGGTCGTCTGCCGATTCTGTTTTTACGATTGTTTATGTCTGCTTTAACTGTTATACAATGCTCTGGATGGGTATTATGTAAATATTTACATATAAGAGTCATGGGCTCATGGGCCATTAAATTTGAGTGCTTTTATTTCGCGAACTTAAGCATCTTCGTAAAGATTAAAAAGTCGAAGTTTCTAAAATAATAATGAAGATTATTAGACCCGATTCCAAAAATAATTGTAACAAAATAAAAACATAAAATAAAATAGAAATATTAAGGAAATAGTTAACTTCACATTGAAAGTATAACATTAACAAGAGTTTACAGCAGGAAAATTAAAAAAATCTTCTTACGTGCTATTTGTAATCTAGTAACTTAATTTTTATATGAATAGCGGAGAAAATATCCAAAATTATATAATTTACTTTTCCAATTAGCCAGTGTGTATTTTGTTGTCTTTGTAGAATTTAAAATAATTATAATTATTTACACTTGTAATTATTATTGATAAATCTAATGTAACTAATCGGATCCAATTAAATAAAAAATAAGAAAAAACTGGTTTTTACTTTACACACCAAATCGCAGTTTTTTTCAAATTTTACTCAAACTTGAGCGAAATTTAAAAAAAATGTAAAATTAATAAAAAAATGTCTGTAAAAACAATTACCTACTTTTTATGTCAGGAGATAAGGACGCTGTCAGTATTTACCTAATGACGACCAGTATACTTGACAGGGCTCGGTATACGAGTGCGGGAATCCTGGTTACTTGACCGCTATCTGTGTTAACCTAATCTATATTTGCAAAAAAAACATTACAAACTCACAAGGCGGCAGCAACTTTATCCGGTGAGTCCACGCGATCAGCGGGGAGCCTAACGACTTGTCCACTATCTGTGTTAACCTAATCTCTATTTGCAAAAAAACATTACAAACTCACAAGGCGGCAGCTGCTTTTTCTGGTGACTCTACGCGACCAGTGCTGCAGTGGGGAACCGAACGACTTGTCCGCTATCTGTGTTTAACCTAATCGCTATTTGCAAAAAAACGTTATAAACTCACAAGGCGGGCAGCTGCTTTTTCTGGTGAGTCCACGCGACCAATGGGGAGCTTAACGACTTGTCCGCTATTTGTGTTAACCTAATCTCTATTTGCAAAGAACTTTACACAAACTCACAAGGCGGCAGCTGCTTTTTCTGGTGACTCCATGCGACCAGTAGGTGAGCCCAACAACTTGTCCGCTATCTGTGTTAACGTTCCACACAACCAGTATCTTGGCGAGGCGAGGCGTACCTCAGCGTAACTGGCGACTTGTTTACTATCAGTGCATTTACCTGTCGCTATTTTTCAAGAAAACTTTACCTAAACTCACAAGGCGGCGGCTGCTTCTTCTGGTGATTCCACACGACCAGTACTATTCAAGGCTCGCCGTACAACAGTGTGAGGGTGGCGCAGCTTAATGACTTGCCTTCTGGCACTATTTACCTAATCGCTATTTACAAGAAAACTTTACACAAACTCACAAGGCGGCGGCTGCTTCTTCTGGTGGTTCCACACAACCAGTATCTTGGCGAGGCTCGGCGTGCGGACCAGCTTCTTGACGAGCGCGAACAGGCTCTCCACGCGGTCGTACGTCAGTATGACTGCGGTAAAGCCTGGCGACTTGGCCGCGGTCACCGGCAGGAATAAAGGGTTCACGGGGCCATACTGTTGGACAATGACGTTATTAGATCCTGGATATTAAAGCAGTCTACAATAGTTTAGTGCTATATGACGAGCGCGAACACTCTCCACGCGGTCGTACGTCAGTATGACGGCGGTGAAGCCTGCCGACTTGGCCGCGGTCACCGGCAGGAATAAAGGGTTCACGGGGCCATACTGTTGGACAATGACGTTATTAGATCCGTTATTAGATCCTGGATAATAAAGGTCTACAATAGTTTAGTGCTATATGACGAGCGAGAACACTCCACGCGATCGTACGTCAGTATGACGGCGGTGAAGCCTGGCGACTTGGCCGCGGTCACCGGCAGGAATAAAGGGTTCACGGGGCCATACTGTTGGACAACCATAATGTTAGATCCTTGATATTAACCCTTCAAGCCCCACAAATCGAAACATAGGTAGCTCTTAATCACGCTCTACCTGCTAGACCGACGACCTATAAAGGCAGCCTTCCTGCCACCTCCAACCGGCCATTGTGGAAATCATTGGGGGAGGCCTATGTTCAGCAGTGGACGTCCTATGGCTGAAATGATGATGATGATGAATCGCGCTCTAGAATTCCTTAAAGAACGCCAAGCCGAGCTGTTCTGGATGGGTTCCCGCAATGTCAATTGGCAAATCACCGGAACTGCTGGACTTACAGTTACATTATTTTTGGACAGTATAAGGGCTTAAGCGATAAACACTTATATGCATTTAGCAGTAAGAAAAATTAGGAAGAAAGTAAGAACGAAAAAACGTCTTAGTTTTAGATAACAAAGGACAATTACGCGGTTTGCTAGAATTACATTTAATCACAGTAGATTGTCTTGTTAACTAATCTAAAATTCATCGATGCAAAGACAGGGAAGTTCAGTGTGACTTAGCGATTCTCAATAGAATGGTGTCTAACCGCTCTATGTATAGGTCAGCAGCTCGATTTAGGCTACCAACATTACAGGAACACTGGGTCAAGGAACGCTAAACGAGTTATTCTGGATAACAAGAACATAGGTCAGTAAAACTAGATCTGCTACGACATCGACGAAAGATCCAATAGTACGAAATTTCCATGTTCATTACCCGCTCCGAGTAAGTTCGACGAAGGATATTCGAAATGCTACAAAATCATGGAAAATTTGCATATTGAATACATGTTTAGGGGACCCATTTCTAGTGATTGTATGGAAAACTTAAAACAGATAGATCTAGGTAAGTAGATAGAATATTTTGTACACCACACAAAGCAGACACATAAAAGGCACAATTTAGGTTTTCTTATCGTTAGGACGCGATCTCTTAACAGCTTAATTTCCCAGAAAAAAAATACGGAACGGAATAACTTTGGACAGCATGTTACCACCAGTTGGTAGGACAAAAGAACCATGTCAGTTACTAGGACAGGGTGGATAACAGTAGGTCTAGACAAGTGGCACTTTTTGATCGAATCGAATTCACAGAGCGATGTAACTCCATGCAAAAAAACGCCCGAGCTAAGGCATTTCGACCGTCTTTTGATTACAACTGTCAAGTTTTGCCACTTGTCAAGAGGGCAACTATAGGGTAGCAGGGCTGGCAAAACGCCACGGGCCCTCGACTCGAGGGGGCCCCAGTCCCAAGACTCTAAGCGCACTGCGATGCTTCAGGGCGATGGTCCCGGTCCCCCTGAAAAATAGCCTTGTTAGGGCCCAAGGACCCCATGAACAGAATTTGCCACGGGCCTAGGATGGTACAGCCACTACTAGGAGGGCACAACCCACACGACAATAAAAGAATGCATGGATTTATCGCACCACGCATATCAAGAGCGTGTAAAATGATTCATCTTTGGACACGCTCTGAGGGGCACGGGCGTCGCTATATACTCGCATGTCGCCTGAGACATTATTTATTTAATTGCGCATGCAGTAAGTGCCATCCATATACTATAAAGAATTTAAATTCAATATGCGTAGCACAGGACTTTGCACTTAAAATCAGTTTTTTCTACTGCGTGCGGCGGCGATACCCGCATGAGTCTATTCGCGGAATTGCGAATGCTATTACGAATAAATGGAATGGGAGGAGGGTGTGATATCCTATAGATTACAAGTCTATAGAAATGGGAGATAGCCTTTATACAACTTATTGGAGTAAAAAAAAATGTTTCAAGACAGCAAATGTTAGAATTAGGAATGCTTTAAAATAAACAATAAAAACTTACCAAATGTTCAGGCATATTCCAGTCTTCGTACATCCTAGCTGCTAACGGAAATAGCTTTTCATTTATAATCTCTAAAGTTGTTAAGGTAATTTTTTCTACACTAGCAAAATATCTATCGTAAGCCCATCGTAGCTGCCAATACAACTCTCCTCTCCTTTCATTGCTCACTGAATGCACTATCTTTAGTAAATTTTTCACATTGTCTTCAGGCACAAACAACGATAGTTTATTCCAGTCTATGTGAGAATTAAACGGCATTATCACTGAGTCCGCAATCACTATGGGGATACACTGGGATGCTAAAACATCCATTAGAACTGCTTGCGTCAGTCTTGCACTACGTATAACTAAGCAAAACATTCCTTCTTTCAATATCTCTGGATAGTCAAACATCCTCCCTGTTGTGTACTCACAACGTTTAGTATAATCAATTCCACCAGAATCAGTTTTGCATCTGTCAAGTAGTAGCAAATCGTTTGATGACGATGCAATGTTTTGTAAGACTTCTAACGAGTCCTGAGCTATGTTTAGTTGTGTTGATATGATCATGTAATTCTTTTGTTTTGGCTGGGTGTTGTCAATTTTTTCTGCTATATGGCTGTATACTGGTATTGAGATGTCGAAGCCATATCGAAACGACCATGTGTCGAAGCTGCCTCCTGCTATAATGGCCTTGCCAGTGTTGAGGTTGACCACTGATTCGTAATTTGGAGCTTTCCCTGGCAGCATATTGAATATGAGATGGTTTTCTCCATCATTCCAGCTGTGTGAAACAAATAATTTATTTACTAATCTTCAAAATTATAATATTGTAGATAATAGTTGAGTTACTAATCAAAAACAATATTTTCCAGCTATCAGAAGCTCAACTTAAGCAAAGCTGATGCTGCTGTGGTAATTAGAAAATGAATAGATCATGCAAAAACATAGATTAATATGATATGAAGTTATATTATAAATACACTATGAACATTGGAATTATCTAAATAAGCTCAATTCAGGTTATCAATATCAATAACAGCTGTTACACCACTGATAACCTTATTAGTACATCTTTATAAATTGATATTGAATAAAATATGAAATACCTATTTGATTTCATTACACATAAAGAGATTATAATAACTATGTTTAATGTCCTACAATATCTTTCATACTTACTATTCAAGCGTCTGTAATGCTCTTGATACATATCCATTTGAAAAGCTGTTCTGGTTCAATGTGTCTATGCTAGGGACTAACAAACACGCCTCCTCGGGATCCGGCGTGTAGTACTTGCTGTGTCTTATGGTATCTAACATAATGTAAAACTCCTTAGAAAACTGTGATATAGGACCACCATTCTCTGTCTGATAATGCTTCAATGGGTATATGTATATCGTTATCTTATCGTGGCCTCCTCTCCCACACCTGTACACGTTAAAACAGTCCCAGTAAGTGCAGTTATGAAGGCGGGACACCGCTTTTGGCAAATCAGTTCGTAACTCTAACACTGTTGAACTCGCCGCGTCTAAATTCACCGGTTCGTGGAAGTCTGTCCGAGGCGAACTACCAGCAAAAACATTGAACAACACTGTAAACACTAAAGATAGCACAATAAACAATAGTAGGCCAACGAAAAACCTATGATACAAGATATTTCTATACGATATATATTTAGTTTGCTTGCTCGTTTTTAGAAGCGAATCCGTAGCCATTTGTGATTTCGACGATTAACTTAGCCTTCTTAATTTATATATGGCACCCATAATTAGGCAGAATCAATGAATTCTCATTCAAAATTCTGAAAAACGCGATATTCCTCCTGCTTCTCGAGAAACTGACGCAGCACAGTGACATTCCTAAAATGTCAAAAAGTTTGACATACGGAAGACAGCTGAGAACAGATAACAAATGACTAGTGGTTACAACTTAATTGAACATTTCAATGACAAAATATGTATTCTACAATTTAAATAAGAATCTTGCCAAATTATTGGTCACGCAACGATGGTTGAGGCTTGAGTTGAGTGCCTCAAATGCAAAGATTTGTATCTATTATGCTGTCTGCGCTGCCGCGCTGACTGGGCTCCGATTGAGCTAAATATTTTTAACTGCTACGCGATAACGCGACTGCACGACAAACGAGCAAGCTGTTTTGAAAAATCCGTATCGCGGTATTGTTTTGATAGCTAGTTCAAACGAAGCTGAAACGCAAGTCAAACGCTCAATCAAACACGAAGATTTGCTGTTTTAGTAATTTTAGTTTCAAAAATAAGGTGTTCGGACTTTTAATGGAAAATGCTTAAATCTGTTGTTTAATTTTTGTTAGCGCGTGAACTTTACCGTGACCGAATTGCGCTTCAGCTAGAATGAAATTGGAGCACAGGTCGCGTGCAACTGGAGATGAAACGCCAATGAATTGGAGATATTACAAAGCAGCGCAGTCGAAACCTTATGTCTTACGTAATCAGAGCCCCGATTACGGTAACTTTTAACGTTTCCAATCCAGACGCGCTTCTGATTCTGCGATACTATTGGTCAAAACAGCTAACGTACGCTGTTGAACGACCAATCGTATCGCAGAATCGAGAAGCGTGTCTGGATTGGAAACGTTAAAAGTTACCGTAATCGGGGCTCTGATCGACAAATGCTTTTCGTCCCACAGACATTTAACTAGAACATGGATTTGACATGGTAGCCAGCTTATTTAGCTAGCTTTCATTGAGTGACCTATAATTTCTTTAAAAAAAAAACAATTTATCAATATCCAATGTTATTCGTTTTCCTACGGAGAATTAAGGCTATGTAGTATACCATTACAGACAGGTGCAAAGTACCCGACTACCTGAACATGCATTGACTATTATCTACTTATTATCAACAATCGACTAGATATAATTAAATAGTGTGGATACTGGGAGACACCCTTCCTCCCATTGTTCAAACAAAAACAAGTTAGAAAGAACTAAAGATAAACAGAAATCAACTGGCAAAACTTCGAATTATTTATTATTATAAAATTCATAAAAAAAATATTTCTGTATAAAGAATAAAATAATTGAGAAAAAAAATATTTTTAAAATTTAATGTTTCGATTTATAATCGATTTGAATATATTAAATTGAACATTGTGAATATCGAACTCTGGGATCATCACTATTTTGAAGTTCGAAGCATGCTGTAAAATTCTATTCAATTGAATATTGAAATTTTTATTCATGAAAATTTATTTTAAAAAATCTGAAATTTTGATTATTCCGCTTTAAAGCTTTCTGTTAAAAATATTTTGCAGATATATTTTACAAACTAAAATGTATTTATTTTTCTTCCTAGTACGTAGATCGGAACGTATCTGACGCAAAAAAGTTAAATTTCTTGTTTTTCTGTCAGTTTTGTGTTGTGCGTAGTTGTGGTTCAGTTTCTGATGGCTTAATTAATTTTATTATTATTTTATTTTTCATATCCAATTCAATATTTCGGCTTGAGCTTGACCAGAGATGGCACTCTTACCTCCCGATCCAGTTTACACCATTCGTAACGTCGACAATGTGCCTGTATATTCGCTGGCATTCAGCTTTCTACCGGGCGGTCTGGAAAGGTTACTAGCCGGCTCAAAAAACGGCTACGTTTATGCATACAACCTTCAGGTGAGCACCATGATCAGGCATACGAATATTATGGTTTTTACGCACAATAGTACAAGACGAATCGGGTGACGTGTCGTACGGCTTCCGTTTATTGCGTCGCATTTCTTTGTTTACTACCCCCATTTTGTGACCTAGAAAGACGTTCGAGCGGATTGTCCGCCAAAACAAGTGATTATCCTATTTAGTTTCTGTAATTCTACCAAATAAAAACATCATTGTAATGTTTCAAATGTTTTTGCTTCCCAAAAGACATCTCACATTCCAATTGGAACTTAAAATTGGTTACACGTTGTAAATAACTACCCTCATTTTTCAGACTAATCGTGTGCAACAGAAGATTCAAGTCGGTCAAGCTCCCATTCTGCACATCGTCCACACCAACAGCCATCTCATCACACAGGAAAAAGGTGGGAAATATAAAATTTTTGAATTAACCAATAGCGGCTACAAAGAAGAAGCCGTAATTGACATTGATTACCCGGGCTTCTGCCGTTTTGAAGCCAACACAAAACTCGAAACAATCTATGTACCTGATAAAGAATCGAAAATATGCATCTATAATTTTTCTGGAGAAAAACAAGGATGTTTGGAGCCAGAAAGCGGAAATCCGAAACTGGGAGATCCAATGTGCTTAAAGTACATTGAGTTTCCGTCTGACCGACCATGCCTGCTGGCCGGCTACGAGGCGGGATGGCTCCTCCTCTGGGATCTCAACACTAGTCAATGCATCGGCAAACTGCAAACAAAGGAATGTCCTATGTCTGTGGACTACCACCTTGAGCAACAAAGAGGCATGATCGGTAATGCCTCGAACATAGTACAGATTTTTAGTATAGGAAAGAGAGACTTAAGCCTGGCCCATAAAATGGACATCACTATAAAGAATCCAGGCATCAATAAAGTGCAGACTCGATCTGACGGGAAAGTTTTCGCATCAGGAGGCTGGGATGGTCATATTCGTATATTCTCCTGGTTCTCGTTGCGACCCTTAGTCGTGCTCACAGAGCACAAGCAGGCTATACAAGACGTTGTTTACTCAACTGAAAAGGTATCCCTGTGGAAGGCCAATATAATGGCCGCCGGGGGACTCGATGGTGCTATTACCCTTTGGGATTTGTATAACAACAAAAACTAAGTTGCATTTATTATTTGAACAATATAGATGTAGTACAAACCTTTGGACAACCTACTTATGAAGACAAGTAGTACAACAGGATTCGTTTCATAAACACTTCATAAGATTTGATTTTGTGAGCATTGTGTATGGAACAATGCCAGTATTGCCTTTACTTAAAATGTTAGATACTATTAAATTCAATCATCCAATGATGCTTTAATTAATTTGAGGATATATAATTTTATATAGAATGCAATATTATGCCATTGTAAATTTTAATTGGATCTCATGTACAAATGTTGGAAATAGAGGCATTTAGTGCCACGTCACGTGGACGCGCTCTTAGTTGTAAGTTAACATGTTGAATATAGTAATGAATATTTTCCAAGAATGATTTTTAGTAATGTTTTTCAATGAGTCAAGACATTAAAGGCCTGCAGAACTTTACATGTAGTTTATTTTATAATTTGGTACCTACTAACAGTAATGTTACCACCTACATACACCTCTAAATAAACATTATTAACACAGCTGTTGTAAAATTCGAAAACACTTGTGTTCCACATTAATTTGTCCTTTTTCATGGACTTGGGACATGTAATAATGACTATTTCATAACAGATAAACACATTTTTTATTATTCATTCATAAACTTTAATTCAGATAGGATAATTGACTATAATAATTTGAATTGCTTTACCTTACCTATTGTTTTTTTAAGAATATTAATTTGTAAACACAAATTACGAGTGGGTTCACCACAAAAGTCTATTTATAGGCGTCAATAAAAAACGATAAATTAGGTACTAATCATATTTTATTTCACATACATTGAGATTTTATAATAAGTTACTAATATCACATTAAACAGTGCGCTCTAATTCTTCGAACATACCCACTAATTTACTATGGGACTCTATATTACAATAAACAAAGGCCAAATACGAATCTATTAAATTTTCGTATATTGGTCCTAAAACATTAATTTGACTTATTTGATTAAAATTACACATGTTCTACATAGCTGCTCTATAACCGTAATACTGGGCTACTGCCACATTTAAAGTTAGTAGGCTTGTATAAAACATCTTAAAACCTAAGACTAGCAAATTGAAAGAATATTGAACTGTGTTCGGATTATCATGCAGTTGTGATATGTATTATTGAATATATTATATTTGAAATATTTTTGTTTTATGCAGTTGATTACTAAAGATTACACTACAATTAAACTTCAACAATTTTTCTTGTTTTTGGAATGAGCGCTTCGTCGTCGGTGGTGACTTCAACCAGTCTCCGTCTTTTCCTTAGAGGTCTGGTAGATTCGGGTTGCTCCCTAGGTTTAGTCACTATTTTAGCCATTTTGTTTCCTAACCTGGTTATTTTGAACTTCGGTAAAGTCTGTTCAGGATTTGCAGACTCGGAGGCTTCGCCTTCAGTTTTATCTTCATCTTCTATTCGCTCATTAAAATCACCGTTTGGTTCACAACCGCCTTCGGTTCCTGGAATTTCTGCTTCTGATTCCCTATCCATACCATTTGCTTCATCTCTATTTTTATCACCATTCATCGTAAAATCTAAAGGTCCTTCGTTGTCGTCACTCCGGGCTTCTGTTTTCACTTTGTTTGCGCAGTGCGCTTGGATGAACGACGTCAGAGGCATCGGGATAGGTATGGGAATGGGGATTGGAAGAACAACAGGGTAAGGTACTAACACTGTTACAGGCGGGGCCTGGCCGAGAGGAGGCGGAAAATTCAACGGCGGTGGAATGCGCGGTCGCTCTTGATGCATAGGTATTCCAGGTCGCGGTAGAAAGTTGAACCTAGGAGGAAACATGGGCTGTCTCGGATCGTGAGGGCCTCCATCCATATACATCGGAGGCGGCATTCCAAACATTGGATTGTGGAATGGTGGCGGTGGTACTGCGTGTGAGTTTATGGGATGAGGAGGAGAATGAATTGCACTGTTGCCAGCCGTTGATGTGGGCGATGAGCCGTCGACTGAAGGGCTGCACAGCCGCAGGTCCTGAGCCTTCGGCGTCGACGTCCGCTGCCTCACCGTTTGTGACGTAACTGTAGCTGAACATTTAGAAGACCTGCGTTTACGCAGATTCATTTTGTTTGTCCTTCCATCTTTCTTTGTTTCAGGCGACTTTTGCACGGTGGTCCTCTCCTCTGAAGGTCCTTTTGGCTTCATTAGTTTGGCAGTTGGAGCTATAGTAATCAAAGGCAAAGGGGATTTTTTGCCTTGAGTCTTTTGTGTTTCTGTCTTTTCTGGGTTTGGTTTTGTTGCTGTGTTATCATGGGTTGGTGATCCTGATCTTTCTGATGTGGGGGATGCGGATCGGCTCTTGCAGTTTTTGAGCCAAAGCTCAGGGGTTATGAGGTTGGAAGACGACGAGGCGTTGACCAGATGTGGGTTGAGATCGAGGTGCGCCTGCGTCTCCCGGCAGAATATGTGCATCTTGTACTGGTTGAGGCATTTATCTGAGCAAAACTGCAGCTGTGTAGCTCCATCCTGTAACACAAAAATACTGAAATTAGTTTTCTGTGTGATGATGATACATGATAATAATTTTGGTTGACTCGGTTTTAAAGCATTTTTGTCTATGTGGTTTTTTTTTAGGTAATAAAATGTTTTGCGACATCAACGTTACATGCAGAACCTATAATAATAACCAAAACGTATAATTTTGACCCTAGTGCTTCTTCCGCAAAGATTCAAATGACAGTGATGCAGTCTTGCAGTCCGAGTAAAATAGGGTAAAATGTACAGAAAAATGGGATACTTAAATTCTCTGTTTTGTTTAATTTTCTGGTTAGCCGGAAGAGAATGCCACATGGCATTAAGCTCACCTGTTGTAGGTACCACTGTTTTTTTATGTGTGCAATAAAGATTTTAAATAAAATAAATAAATAAAGGCTACGTCCAAAAATCAGACCCACCTGGAAATCCACATAGGCCACCGTATGCCGCACATGCCGGCACCAGTCGCAGGTCTTGGCGCGCTTGAAGTTGGCCCTCCGGGACTGGCTGAAACACAGCTCGGAGCAGAAGGTGGCCCCAGCTTGCTGCAGCGCGCCACTCTCGCTCGTGATGTTCTTGTTGCACCAGGAGCATTCGTCTGGAAGAAGGAGAAAGTGATATGAGATTGATTCGATTAGCTAAGATCAATGAGGGATGTCGAACCTTAGCTTCGAACTCCTCCGTTCTTCTGATTAATTTCGTTGCGGGTCCAATCACCAATGACAGTTAAACTTTCCCCGGGACAAACTTGACCTTTACTGGTTGGTTTTTTATTGGCGGTCAAGCTGTAGATCCTGGCTACACAGAAGTTGCAGCGGTGGGAACGAGAGGTGGGAATAATCCCGTAGCTAAGATCAACTCTATTAGATAGGTTGAAGACGGTGTAATTTTGTTATATCCCCAAACTGTCAAAAATTTTAATGCCGATATTTAAGGAGTGATAAGTTACATAACTACCTACTTATTTACCTAAGTACCGAAAATTGCGACAATTAAAAATATTATAGTTTAGGTATCTACGAGTACATATTTTTCAGCGACTAATTTTCAGGACAGCGGTCGCATATTTTGAATGCTTTACATTGGTATCAAATACTTAAAATACCTATCATCAGGGCCGGATTAACCATCTCGGGGCCCCTAGGCACAGCTCGTTTTGGGCCCCCCTTTTTTTGTCGCGGAGGAAATGCTTTGTGCACCGTCACCACTGGGGACAGGGTGGTGTGTGGGACTCCCGGCGCCCTAAAAAGGGAAAAGGACGGGGTATACCCACTAAGACCTCCGCGGCGTTCCGTCAGAGCCCGAGTGGGGGTGTCGCGAGTATCCGGCCGTAGCCTTAGACTTCCGCGACACCACGCTACAGCAACAGCTCGCCTACACGGCGGACCCTACACGCCCCCCTTGTGGGAGTCCGGCGGGAACGCCCGCAACGCCAAGCCGTTCCCGTCAGACGAAGGTGACAAGGGTGCCCCCGCACCCCCAGCCTGCAGGCCGCCACCTGGGGGGAGAGTAGAACGGTCGTACAACCGCCTTCTCCGGCCCCTTCTCCGCTTGCGGAGCGATGGGGCGAGAGGATCGCTCTCCCGCTCGCGCTCCTCTGCCTGCTTCTGAAGGATGATCTCTTCGCAAAAGGGGCGACCACCTTCCTGCATTCCACTTCCACTTCCCAGCATGGCGATGACCAGGCTCGTAAGCGAAAGATCCCGGCCCACGACCGCAGTGAGGACACGGCGCTGCTCCTCCCAGCCTGTGCAGACCGCGAGGTCATCCGCCGCGCCGCATTTGTGGCACAGCGGAGATTCCTCTCGGCCAATTCTTTGCAGGTACGAACCGAAGCAGCCATGCCCAGTCAGCACCTGCACCAGACGGAACGTGAGAAACCCGTGCGGTCGTTCCAACCATTGGTCCAGAACAGGACCAATGGCGGCCAAACTGCGCGCGAGTCATGTCTTGGTGACGGCGCCGCACCGCTCCGGGGCCGGGCGCTTTCCACGCGCCTTCTGGTCTGCCATCCAGTGATAGATGACAGACAAGACCCCAGCTTCTAGCTCCCAAGGAGGAGCACCAGCGAGGACGCACGCCGCAGCGTGCCCTACCGTGCGGTAGGTCCTTACGACCCTCTGCGCTATGGCCCGCTGGGGTCTGCGCAGTAGGGCAGCATTCTTCTTCTTGTTGAGTGCGTCCGCCCAGACTGGGGCGCCATACAGCGCCATACTCCTCAGAACGCCGGCATAAAGTCGACGACACCTCGTTTGTGGCCCTCCCAAATTCGGAAGGAGCCAACTCAGTGCGCTGGCTGCCTTGAGGAGGCGTAGCGCTAGCCCGTTGAAGTGCGGGCTAAAATGCCACCTCCCGTCAAGCGTGAGGCCCAGATATTTCATTTGGCCTTTAACGTCAATCTTAACGTCCTCAACGCGTCGGGAGGGGCGCGCTGGCGAGGCCCCGGAAAGAAGAGGGCCTCAGTCTTCTCCAGCGCGACTTTCAGGCCGAGGCGTCGTATTCTGCGAGCGACTAATGTGCCCCAAATGTCTTCCCCGGGCAGTGACCAGAGTGTCATCCGCATAGCATATGACACTCATGCCCGCGAGAAGGACGCCTCGGAGGAGCCAGTTGAAGCCTAGGTTCCACAAGAGTGGACCGAGCACCGAACCCTGCGGAACCCCGCTGGCTACACCGCGCCGTTTGAGCTGGCCGTCTCTGTTAACATACAGGACTTCGCGGTCCCGTAAGTAATCGGCCAGCAGCGCTCAAAGGTACTGAGGGACTCTGTGATATTGAAGTGCCTAGAGTATGGTGGAATGAGGGATGGTATTGAAAGCGTTGGCTATATCGAATGATAAAGCCAACACACCCTCAGCCCTCTCCCTAGCCTCCGCAGTGAGGCTTTTTAGCCTCTGAAGGGCGTCGACGGTCGACCTGTCATGTAAACCAAAGCAGTAATTGGTTAGACAATATCGAAATATGACGATTGAATGTGTAAACCAAAATAAGGCGAAGTTTTGAGGTGGTTTGAGTTTTGTTGCATAAAAATAATCTTTAACATTTTTTTTTTTTTTCATTTTTTTATCGAGAGTGCTGGGCCCCTGGCCATTGTGGGCCCCTAGGCACTGGCCTAAAGTGCCTTATGGATAATACGGCACTGCCTATCATAGCAAAGCAAACTTTATTCAAGCACAATAAAATGCGATGACGGATCGTTGTTAGTTCAGTTTCGTATCCGAGGGAAATTAATAAGGGCCTAACGAGCCATCACGGCAGTACCACGTAATGAGACTGCGGTGTTCTGTTACCGCGTTTTTTCTGGATATCATTCGCAAATTAATTGCTGGAGATGATACTCTGCTGGTGCAATAAAACAATACTGTTTTAACAGTATTTGTGGATAAACGGTGGAGTTTCCTAGGATACTTGGAGCTTTATAACATTTTATCCAAAAGTAGTAAACATGTTAACATTATCTTGATAGGTCACACACATCATACGCGATGACAATATTTAGCAAGAATACGTAATTCGACATCATTTAGGTTCGTTCGTTCGTTTCAGCTAAACGACGTCCACTGCTGGACAAAGGCCTCCCCCAAGGTTTTCCATCGTTTAGGTACCGAAACTCATTTCCAATTCCAATTCCAAAACAACTCGCTACCCTATTCTCTTAAAATCTGGAATTCCTCGAAAATCGCTTCATTTCACGCCCTGTTCCTAAGAACTTCGATGCTATTAACTATGTGATTATACTTATCTATGATGGCACCCTCCCTCCTCCATGACGTTTTAATTTGCCGCCGTTAGTTCTCCGAAGATGAGAGTGTTTATAATGAAAATATAATAAGTTTATCGAGCGATTATCGCCGCAAGTTACAACGATTAGGGTCTATTTTGATAGGGATAGGATAATAGTGGAACTACGATTACGTAGTTCTATTAAGTTCCGAATCTGTTTCAAAGAACCACAGCTGCGTTAGGAGGGTGCACTTTCGACGAAACGTGATATCAATCGCTTATTTATTACGTTATTGGGCATGTTAGGGCGGGGTTCTTAGAATTAGAAGACCCTCCTATTTTAGGTAATTTTCAACTATTGCTTATTAGATTCTTCTTGTATATCAGCTTGCTGCAGAGGAGACTAAGTGACCTGATGATAATGATCCACCTTTGTTCTTCTGCTCTGTAGCCTGTTCTGGGCTGGACTTTCTTGTAGATTAGAGAGAGTCGTCCTCCTGGAGTGGACTCTAAATGACCTGTTGGTATATCTACCTTTGTTCTTCAGCTTATCGCCTGCTCAGGGCTGGATTTTATGGTAATTAGTGAGGGTTATCCTCCTTTGGTGGAGATTAAATGACCTGATGAGGATCTACCTTTTTCTTCTGCTCTGTAGCCTGTGGGCTAATTCAAATGCATTTGTCGAGAGTAGAAATCGTCTGTCAAATAATTTTCTAGTAATCAATTTTGAACTGATTGTCAAGGTAATACAGTTGAAAATTGAATAACAAAGCCAGACTACGCCTAATGTCAGATCAGCCGATGGTAGATGCCAAATTTCCAATATCGCGTACGAAGACGGAGAACTTTGTCAATATAGTGGTACATAAGGGTCATAATTAGTGGATGCCGACGATTTTCGCGCTGTCATCTCAACGACAGCCCACCCTTGTCGTTAGAGCAGTCGACTGGATAGAAAGCATGGAATTAACATGGTGATTGATAAACTAGGTGCAAATAAGCATAGGTATTTTATAACCACAGAATGCTTTTTGCTTAAATTTGAAAATAAAGGATATTGTTCTGCGTCCATACATCGTTCGCCCCAAGACCCCCAAGCAATGAAATAATGATTTTTATATGTGAAATTACTTAACGATTGTCACCTTATACTCCACTAGCTTTTCGCTCGCGGCTTCGCGCGCGTGGCCTACATTAGGTACCTACATATTTTACGGAACCCTATTATTTTCCAAAATAAAATTTAGCCTGTTACTCGTGGATAATGTAGCTTTCGAATGGTGAAAGAATTTAATAAAAACGGTCCAATAGTTTTTGAGTCTATTCATTACAACCAAACAAACAAAGTTTTCCTCTTTATAATATTAGTGTAGATACTTAAAGCACGGATAAGCGGGAGATTCGTTACAATAGGAAAAATGCTTCAGATTTTGAGGTTATTAGCATAACAGAAGTACATTTCCATTTTCNGGTAATTTTATACCATCTGCATCTACTTTCGTAATCGTAGTGATGACATTACGATACGAAGGCCCAATCGTGGACAACGATCGCCAGATACCGAATAAGTAATTTCGTTTGCATAACATTGAATGAGATGCGATAAAAAAGAAAAGAGATTATCCTATTCAAAATCAAAATCAAAAATATTTATTCAGTTTAGACCACAAGTGGCACTTATGAACGTCAATAGAAAATAATAAAAAAAAAGAAAAGGTAGCCCTTAATATGGGGCACTTTACATGTCTCCTTATCTTTTGGGCCCTACCAGCGCTTCGAGACAAACATATGGCAAGTGCTGAGAAGAAACGCCGGAACAAACTCAGTCACCACTTATTGCCAGGAATTATCTAACGGTAAGAATAGTCAAATTTAAGTACATCAAATATGTGCAGACTGAACTGACCACGCATCCTTGTCATCAATATAGTCTCGAACCTTGTAGTACAAGTACCCTTTGGACATAAGGGTATTTTTTATATGTATCTTAAATTTGTTTATTGGCAATTCGACAAGGTTGTGTGGTAGGTATTTTGTTAAAAATATGGTAATACATTTCCCCAAGAATGAATTACCTATTTTATGCAACCTATTGAATTTTTCCTCAAGTTTACAATATAAGTAGACGATCAACGCTTTATTTATACACGTTTGTTGGATATCTTAAACGAGGCGCGCGTAAATAAGTAAGCGTCCGCGATTGACCTCCTTACTGGCGACATTTTATTGCGCACGATTACGTTAATAAATTCTTACGAATATAAAACTTCACGTTTAACACTGAGACGTAATTCAAGAAAATCTGTGCCGCTTAAAATATCGGTTTAATATGCCCTAGTGACGAAATTGAGATTTTGAACTAGGTCGGAAACACCTAAATATTAAGTATATCTTCATATTAATAACTTGCCATTAGTTATAATCCGTCAAAACTCCATACAAAAAAGGGGCTTTTCGACCACTTTTCGACTGGTTTGCGATTATAATTTGCACTTTGTCTAGACCCACTGCGAACATCACGCACGACTACATTTGACATGATTTGACACTAAAATGTTTTTTTTATTATGTCTGGAATTAGTGGCTAGGCGTTAGGAATTAACTGATTACCTACAGACAGCTCTGAAAAATAACGGTTATTTTTCGGTTCCTGACTCTCCTCCTCGGATCATAGTTCTATGATCTGAGGTTCCTGATAAAGTCCCTATTAACCCATCAGGAACTTTTATTAAAATAAACTGAAACTATTCTACAGAAAATAAGGAAAATTAATACAATTAAGTAGGTTCCTAATTAGTAAAACCCACCGCAATAACACCATATCTGTTGCCACAATTACAATTATGTTTATTGGACGATTGTTTACAGCCACAAATAGGTTTACATTGATCATTTAATCGGACACCAATGGACAGATAAAATAATCCTGGGTTCGATGACCACCTGCGTTGTTGATAAGATTAATCTTTCAAATATGTAATCCTTAATCTACTGCTGGATTATTTTATCAAACTCGAACTTGTTCTTCTTCTTCTGTTTAGTTCCGAAATCGCGAAAACTGCTCCGTGAAATAAGCGATTTTAAAATTGAATCTGTAATTAATATTGTAGAGGCGCTTCTGTATTAATCCGTAATAGACTCGCAAACGTCTTTTATTACGTTACATCCTTAGCTACGTGCATTTTAGTAGGTTTGTTAAAAAATACTTTGTTTACAGCAAAAACTATTCATTAGCAAGATGCTATGTCTTTGAAACCTACGCAGGCTAAGCCGTCAGCAAAAGGCTAGAACATTGTTCAGTACTCAACGAGATAGCTATTTATAAATTCACATAATTCGTTATAACAATTCCTAGTACAATATACTTAGTACTATATCTTTGTCACGTCAATCTCCGAACAACCCCTACGCTCCGTATTTAAAATCTATACACATTTTCCCTCATATCCGATCGCACGTCTATTAAAATTGCAAACCTTAATCCAAAACCCGCCAGAAGATCGGTAACAAACGTCGGTAACCCTACCTATCAAAGAGCCTCGCTTTGCGAAACACTACCAGCGAATACTAGAACGTATGAAGACGCCTTCATTATACAGTAACTGTATATCTCTTTGACACGCGAGAGACTAAATAACCTGATTTAATTAATCTGCCTTCAACCGTCTACGGTGGCACAGAGGGTTACGTTTCAGGGACAAGATGACCACTATTAATTGGGATAGCGTTGCTAAATTGCATTGATGAGGTTGGACACACCATCTACCGTCTCTACATGTAGCGTGTCGCATGATTAGGCGCGCAAGTTTCGACCAAAAGCACGGTCAACAGCACATCAGTGATTTCTAGACAAAGAACCATAAGTAGCATAATAGTAGGTAATTACAGTTTAAAAAATGTTTCAGTAGGCAGCTGCCTAGTTGTGAGGTCGCGTGTCCCCTCAAATAGCACGTTTCGTGAACGGGATATGCTGAAATACCAAATCTCATACAAAATTTCGCACTCCTCGTAACGAAGAAAATACCGACTTTGACAGCATAATGAGTGATTTCTAGACTTAAAAGACCAAAAGTAGCATACTTAGTAGGTATAGGTAATTAAAGTTTAAAGAATGTTTCAGTAGGCAGCTGCCTAGTTGCGAGGTCGCGCGTCCCCTCAATAGCACGTGGCGTAAACGGGATATGCTGAAATACCAAATCTCATACAAAATGCCGCACTCCTCGTAACGAAGAAAATACCGACTTTGTCTTCAGTTCAAATGACCTTCCTTTGTTTGTAAGGTCCTTCAAAAAGAATTACTCAATTAAAAGTTACGAGCGCACCCGCCTGTAATTAATATCGCAAAATCCATTTTCTAATATTCAGATTTACGGTTTGCGTTCGAATTAAGCCTGCGATCTTTCGTTTCAATTTACGTACAGTGTTGCCAGTGTAGTGTTGCTTAATAATTATCACTGAAAACACGATATGTTCAGCGCGCGGCCGAAAGAGCTGGCCGGGCGAGGGTTGGTGCTATGTCGATGTTTTATTAGAAACTAGCTTTCCGCCCGCGGCTTCGCCCGCGTGGAATTTTGTCTGTCACAGAAAAACTTTATCGCGTGCGTCCCTGTTTCAAAAACCGGGATAAAAACTATCCTATGTTCTTTCCCGGGACTCAAACTATCTCTATGCCAAATTTCATCAAAATCGGTTGCGAGGTTTAAGCGGGAAAGCGTAACAGACAGACAGACAGACAGAGTTACTTTCGCATTTATAATATTAGTTGGGATTAGTTTTTCATAAAGTTTTGAAAAATAATAATCACCATTCAATCATTGCGATTGATTGAAAAGAAATAACGTATCGGAGTATCGCGATCGCTTTCATTTTCACATACAGCTGAAGCACAAATTTTTGTGCCTGAACACAGTAGCATATAATAGATTTAGGTATGTAGTGGTTTCACATAAATTAAGCTAAACACTATGGCACCTCAAATATCTCGGATGTAATGCTTACAACTGTTACAGGTGTTATTTATTTTGCAACAAAAATGTGTACACTGATGTGCAATTGATTGACAGCACAGTAGTCATTGTGACTAATATAGAGATGTTGTTATAACTGAAAATACAGATACAATACCAAATTGTTACGCATTGAAAGTGACTGTTAAGTTAAAAAATAAAGGCCTCAAATCAGCACAAAGTTTAAAAACCTGTTATCGATAATATCGACAAAGTTACATCGACATTAGCCCTGCGCTGCGAGAAGGTTCGGTAACGTAAAACGCACGCCCATTATTCAGCTTTTGCCTGATCAAACCTTCCGCGAAAATGATGCATTCAAAATACAGAATATCATGTATTCCGCTGTTGGTGCATATCAATTAGTACTGCAACTTTAACTACGGCTCGTCAGTAATTAATAATACAAAATTGTATTTTCGTAATGGCCGAAATATCAGCTTAAAGTTTTTTTTATGAAG